CACCTCAGCCTGTTGGGCCTTCGGGTCAACTGGGAAAAGAGCAAACTCTCCCCGACGCAGAGGATCTCTTTCTCGGTATGGAGTTGGATTCGGTCGAACAGGGTGCTTGAATTCATTCAAAGGCAGGATGGCGGTCCCACTGAAACAATGTCAGAGGCTCCTGGTGCATATGGCAGCTGCTGCGGCAGTCACGCCGCTGGGGCTGCTTCATATGAGACCGCTTCAGCACTGGCTCCATGGCCGAGTCCCGAGGTGGGCGTGGCAGCGCGGCACTCACCTGGTCCAAGTCACACTGGCCTGCCGCCAAACCTTCACCCCGTGGTCAGACCTCACGTTTCTTTGGGCAGGAGTGCCCCTAGAACAGGTGTCGAGGCATGCTGTGGTACACACGGATGCCTCCACCACCGGCTGGGGGGCCACGTACAATGGGCAAGCAGTCTCGGGGGTGTGGACGGGCCCCCAACTGCACTGGCAAATCAACTGCCTAGAGTTGCTAGCAGTACGCCTTGCCTTGAACCGTCTCAGAGGGTGCTTACGAGGCAAGCACGTGCTGGTCCGCATGGACAACACTGCGACTGTTGCGTACATCAACCGACAAGGTCTGCGCTCCCGTCGTATGTCGCAACTCACCCGCCACCTCCTCCTTTGGAGTCAGAAGCATCTGAGGCCGTTCACATTCCGGGCCTGCACAACCGTGCAGCCGACGAGCCGGAGAGTGGAGACTCCATCCCCAGACGGTCCAGCTGATTTGGAGACGTTTCTGAGTCGCTCAGGTAGACCTGTTTGCCTCTCCAGAAACCTCTCACTTCCAGCTGTTCTACTCCCTGAACGAGGGAACACTCGGCACGGACGCACTGGCCTCGGGGCCTACGCAAATATGCGTTTCCCCCAGTGAGCCTTCTTGCACAGACACTGTGCAGAGTCAGGGAGGACGAGGAGCAGGTCCTGCTTGTGGCGCCCTACTGGCCCACTCGGACCTGGTTCCCGGAACTGATGCTCCTCGTGACAGCCCCTCCCTGGCAAATTCCTCTGAGGAAAGATCTACTGACTCAGAGATGGGGCACCCTCTGGCACCCACATCCAGACCTCTGGAAACTTCATGTCTGGTCCCTGGATGGGACGTGGAGTTTCTAGGTAGACCCCCGGAGATGCCCGATCGGAGTTGTGCTGTCCTTTTTGCAGCAAGGGTTGGAGCGAAGGCTGTCTCCCTCCACCCTTAAAGTTTACGTTGCTGCTATTTCTGCTAACCACGACCCCGTAGAGGGGAGAACGGTGGGGAAGCACGACCTGGTCATCAGGTTCCTTAGGGGGGCGAGAAGGTTGAACCCTCCTCGTCCTCCCTCTATACCTTCTTGGGACCCGTCTCTGGTGCTCGAAGCACTACAGCGGGTCCCATTTGAGTCAGTTGAGCTAAAGTTTCTTTCAATGAAAACTCTGCTCCTGCTTGCGCTGGCCTCCATCAAGAGGGTAGGGGACCTGCATGCATTTTCGGTCAACGAATCGTGCCTAGAGTTCGGGCCGGCTGACTCCCAGGTAATCCTGAGGCCCCAGCCCGGCTATGTGCCAAAGGTTCCAACTACTCCCTTCAGGAATCAGGTGGTGAGCCTGCAGACCCAGCCCTATCTTTGCTCTGTCCCATCCGAGCTTTGAGATGCTACGTAGGCCGGACACCAAGCATCAGGACCTCAGACCAGCTCTTTGTCTGCCACGGAGGCCGGCAGAAGGGGAATGCCGTCTCTAAGCAGAGGATGGCCCACTGGATAGTGGATGCCATCACCCTGGCTTATCAGTGGGCTCTGGCTCGTGGTGCCTCGCTGACAGATATTTGTAGAGCTGCGGGCTGGGCGACCCCCAACACATTCGCTAGATTCTATAGCCTTCGTGTGGAGCCGGTATCCTCCTGTGTTCTCACCTCAAACGGGTAGAGGCACTTAGAGGCCCCGGTTCAGTGTCGGCTTGCGGTAAGTGCTTCCGAAACCTCCTTCAGGAAGGATGGGGCTTCCGCAACGTTCTTGTTCCAAGAGGTATGGGTACGTTTTCCCAGTGTTATCCAATCTCACTGAGTGGGTAGTGCTACGACAACAGTGACTGGTCTTCTTGTTGCAAGCCCCGGCCTACGCCTAAAAGGGGCGCAGGAGACCCGCACAAGACACTAGAAGGGGCAGCATTCCCTGAAGGAGGGAACAGAGATGTCACGTCCCGTCGCCACGGCTGCTGTAAAACCGCTGAGCGGCCGGGTCACCGGCTCGGCTCCTCAGCGAAAACCTGAGTATGCATTGCATCTGCTGCCTACTTATACTCGCGCTGCGATCAGCGGCAGCTGGATGCAATCATCGCATGCCAATGTGCATTGGCTTGTTTAGTTTACACAAAGTAGATTGGTCTCTCTAGCGAGATTCCCAATTCGTCGGTCACCGACGTGACGTCTCCATTCCCTCCTTCAGGGAATGAGGGTTACAATACATAACCGAGACATTACAGCGACTCCTACAGGAGACACTGACTCTCAACACATAATAATAACAATGCTGATAAAGTTATGAAATATGTCATGTTCACAGACACTCAGTGTGCCAATATCACAATAAACAAAAATTTAATTTAAATTAAAACCAGCATTTATTTAAAATTCTTAATTCCACTTTGAAATATATCTATATAACAGGTCAGATTTCTGTTATAGTACTAATAAACTGAATGAGTTACCAGCTTTATATATTTATCATCAATAAATCCAATTTGTTGCAGTCTTGTAAATTTTAAATAATTATTGCCTATTCCACAGCAGGTTTATTATAGTTAACGAAAAAAAAAAAAAAAAACTGAAAAAAAGTGACAAATAAAATGTAATTCTTTTTTATTTCAACTGGTTGACATAAGGCATTTCTCATTTTTGTTTAGTTTAACTTGATACACTAAAATAAAACTTAAATAAAAATGATATACATCAATAAAACAATATATAATAAAATTTATTTATTGTTCATTAAAAAATGAAATACAAATATCTAATATAGTATCTCAATGAAACTAAAATAACACTAGCCATATTTATTCATGCTCACACTGAATTATATACAGTATATGGTAATATTTAAACACTATAAAACTTTACCACAATTTGAAAAACAACACTAGATTTTCGGTTTTTCACAAACTAATTTGTATCTTTTCCCATGTTCGTTACAGATGGTGAGAATCACAAACACAGGCACAGTTTTAGAGTCGTGTTAAATTTTATTTGGTCTTGCTCCTTTTTGCAGTCTTTTTCTCTTTTTTTTTTTTTTAAATTTAAAAGTTCCACAGGTTAAAACCCATTACAATTAGCAAAATAAACATTCAGCCTTTAATACAGAAACAACACACTCACGATTGAGCTCACACACACACACACACACACACACACACACAGAGTAATGGAGTGATTAGGCCCAGCCTACTGAGAATAACACACTCACACAATCACACGACAGATGTTATACAGGCTTCAACAGAACTGAATATATAGCAATAAGCTTCAATTAAAACATGAATCATCATCAACAAGAAATCTTCCCCTCACACAGAAGATTCTCCCTCAAATCGGCAAGTTTTTAGCAGGTAGTGGAAGATGAGTGTGAACGTCCGTGAGCCTGAGAGACGCCTGGAGTGTTTTGGTCGAGGAAATCTCAAAAACCATGAGCGTAAAAGAAGAATTTCAATCAATCAAGGCACACAGTCCAACTCTGACACTGTAAAGCACAGATTTGGCCCTTTGCAGCACCCATATCTCCACAGACTCCAGTGAAGAACCGAACAAAACCTAAAGATATGTCTTAATATAAAATACAATAAAGCATCCTAACGTGGACTGTGTCTCTGACTTAAAATCTCTTGAATCCAGTGTGTTAAAGGCCTCAGTAATAAATATTAATAGCTTGCGATTAGCTTTATTCACCATCATCCTCATCACTAATGAGGAGAAACGATCTGCTCGCAGAGGTGTTTGTGAACGTCAGTCAGAAGACAAAGATATACAGCAGGAGCACCCCATATCCGTGGAAGCTTATTTTCACCACAGAATAAAACATGAAAAGGCTAACTGCAACGTTTTATCTCACAATTCTGACACATTGTGAATTTATATCTCACAACTGTAAGTTTATATCTCTATTCTAAGAATTCTAACTTTATATCTCGCTTTTTTTTTTTCTATATTCTAAGTTTACATCTCATAATTCAGACTTTTTATCCCAATTGTGAATTTATATCTCACAATTGCAAGTTACAAACGTGGGTTCTTAGTTTATTCTATAGAAGAATCTCGCAAATCTATGGAAACTTGTTTCTGTTTCAGAGTTATAATAAATAAAAAAATAAATACATAAAAGCTTGCAACGTTTTATCTCACAATTCTGAATTTATATCTCGCAATTCTGACTTTTATCCCAATTCAGTATCTCACAATTCCAGACCTTTTGTTTTTGGAATTCTGTGTTATTAAAATGTAGCAATTTTAATAGCTATATTTTAAAATTGAGTTTAAATCTCGCAACCCTATGGAAGCTTGTTTCTGCTACAGAAGAAAAAGGTAATTGCAAGTTTTTATCTCACAATTTTTTTTTTTAAATCAGAGAAAAATATAATATAAAGTCAAAAATTGCAAGATACAAACTCGAGATTCGAAAAAAAATTGTGAGATATAGTCTCGCAACTGCGAGAAAAAAGTCGTTAAAAATTCGTAATTACTTTTATTTTTTCTGTAGTGAAAACAACAACATAATTATATGAAAGCTTGCTTCTGCCATGGAATAAAAACATTTAAAGAAGTAATTGCAACTTTTTATCCTGCAATTTTTACATTTTTCGGACAATTCTACGTTTATAACTCACAGTTGAGACTTTAACTCAGATATAACCTCAGAATTGCGAGACATTAATTATGAGATTGTTACAATGACCTTTTTATTCCGTGGCGGAAATGAGCTTCCTTATGCAGAAAGAGTTTCACCGTCAAGTCTTGTTTTCCGATATCTTCCGAGATCTTGTTTTCCGATAAAAATGATCGATATGAATTGAATTTGCTGCTTAAAACAAGGAAGAAACTTTGGAGGAATAAATATAAACTTGTTTCCCCTTTGAATTAAGTTCAGTTTTCTTACCCCATGAACAGATTTCTTTCTTGCTTTAAGTATAAACTCATTTTCATCGGAAAACAAGACTTTTCAGTTTGCATCTCTAGTAAATGTATTTTGACTTTTGAATATTTAGATATTATGTACTGGAAATCCAACCTAAAATCAACTGGATGAACTTTTGTCAAAAGCACCTACACTGAAAAACACAAGTCTCGTCGCAATGCCAAAATGTTTTAGCCATTAACAAAATTTAGTGAAGTTTGAGAAATATATAAAATGGATTTCCTCTCAATGCATCTGAATTCAAGACTATTTAAATATTATTTTACTGGAAAACCAGACAGAACTACTGATGATGAAAGTGATTTGAGGTTTACGCATTGCTTTGGACTAAAACTCTACCTGACGCGCTTTAGTCCAACATTTAGCGAGCCAACACGATGGTATCTAAAAAAAATGATTTTGTGATTTCATAATCTCAGGCTGATCTGTATTTCTACTTCTGTCAGCTGATACATCCCCATAATCTCTGACTCAACTCGAACGCCACCAGCGAGGTCAGCAGAACGTTTCTCGACTCATTCGGGGACGCGTGACGTGGATTATGAAACGCAACTTTTGTCGCCTTCAGAGACGAATGTGGGCTGAAACAAGGAATCATTTTGAAATCATATGACAATAACTACATCACATTTGAGACCAGATAAAGCGATGCAACGAGTGCGGATCTACTTAAGCGCAACTAGAGGCCGCTAAGACCCTGAGACAGTGCTGAAAGACAGGAAGACCAACCAATCAAGAGAGGAAGACACTGAGGTTTTGTGACTCCTGACAGGAGTCACGCCACTGAATGAGCATTCAGAACCCATCAACACATCAGCAGTATCGGGTCAAATGGAAATCTCCTTGGTTTTGTTTCCCAGAATTGGCATGGACCCTCGTTTGCGGGACAGTGTTCAGAACCTGTCGTCTCTGAGCGGAGCTGGTGATCTGAACGGACTGAGGCCGATGCTCCGGTGAGGATGGACCCTCTCTTTGGTGCCGCCCATCCAGCCCAGGTCTATGAGCGGAGAGTCGGCCGGGTTCAGCGGCGCCACCCTGAGCGACAGATTGGGACTGCCGTTGGTGGAGCAGGGCGCCGAGCGCGAGGTGTGGAAGGGGGCTGAGAAGGGGTCAAAGGTCGAGGCGTGGTCCGAGTTCATGGAAGGGTCGACCTTCAGATTAAAGGGATCGCAGTCCGGGGAAGGGAAGAGGTCACAGTTTGTGAAGGGGTTTGTTGGCGAGGGCTGGTACCCCAGTCGAGGGCTCGTGGGACTGCTGACGGTTTTCTTGGCGCCCAGTCTGTCCGTCACACCGGCCGATACAAAGCTCCACGGGTCGATGCGGGGCCGGTTAGGGGACGGTCGCGGCCGAGGGACGATGTTGACCTCCAGACGCCGCGTTTTAGGGCTCCACAATCGGGGGTGTGGATACAGGGCGAACGGCAGCAGAGACTTGTCCTCGGCCTCAAACGTGTCCTGACACAGTGGAAGATCCAACACTAGTAGAGAAGACAGAGAAGAGGATTAGTTATGGTTAGTGAGTAAAAAATATTTTGAACCAAAGTTCAATGCTTAATTAATGGTTCTGAATAGTTGCAAAGATGCATTTTTCATAGATTAATTGACTCATTCCATAATTGATTACTTTACATGGTTGTTAAACTGAACTCAATCAACGATGATCTGACTTTAACTGAAAAATCGACCGTTTACTATTGTCTTCTTTTTAGAGCTGCTCTACAGCAGAATTGAATTTTGTCTGCATCATTGAAACATTATTTTCCTCTTTAACACTGTAATCCTGCTTTGACACAATCTGTACTATAGAGTGCTATATAAATAAAGGGGAGTTATTAAAGTTAACTAAAACTAAAATAAAATAAATGTTACTTGAAATAAATGTCACAGAAATAAAATTAATAAAAAACTAAAATGACCACAACTAAAACAGAAATAAAACATAATTTAAAAATGATATATTATAAAACAAAAACTGATAAAAATGACAAAACACACAACAAATTACTACAATTGTAAAATAAAAATTGAAAACTGAAAATACAAACATAAAAACTAATTCAAGTTATTAATAAAAACTAGAATAGTACCTCAGTGATACTAAAATAACACTGTTTATATGGTGTAATAACTGACCCAAACTATCAAATTATTAATGCACACATCATAGCTAAATCAACACAAACAAATTATTTTAAACGGTTCAATGGTCTACTGTCAGTTTTTCTTTATATATTTTGTATTGGTGCATGCATTTGTGTTTTTAAATGTACATTTATGCATTTGGCAGATGGTTTTATCCAAAGCCACTCACGTTGCATTCAAGGTTTACAGTTTGATCAGTAAATGCATTTCCTGGAAATCAGACCATTGACCTTGTCGTTGCGAGCTAAAACAGTAAATGCAAATGGAAAACTGAGATTTTTACTGTAATTTAATATTTGCAATAAACATTTTTTTATCTACTTTCTGTTTGGTCCAGACAGCAGTTCCTCTGATGGGTTTTTATATATATACACACACACACACACACACACACACACACACAACACAAAATATCACACTTGAGAACTGAAGATGACCTGCATCATCCACTGACTACTATCCCTATTAACCAGCCAGGAAGGAAATCAGATGATGATATATAGTCAAAATGTGCCAATATCAGTCTATCATGTAAATTGGCCACTATATCAGTCCATCAGTGTAAAATACATCTAAATGTTGCTTTAGATGCAGCTTCTGTGCCACTTCTGCATCAACAAAATACATTTTAACACTACAGATTTAATGTTTGATAACAGCCTATAGTGTTTTATTATTCTAAATGAATTAACTGATTAAATGTAGGAATTTTACATTAAATATGATGACAACATCTAATAATAATATACTGTTTATATATAAAATTCGCATACTGTTTACTAACTTTGTTTAAAAGTTCTGTGTAATAATTAGTCAGAACTGTTAAACAGAGACAGTAAAGTAAACTAATGAAGATGGAGAATGCTCTGTGTGCTAGGGCTGTCAAAAAAATTTTGAATTTCGAATATTCGTCGAATTTAAAATAAAAATCCATATTGAATGTTGCATTTTAATTTTAGGTGTGCGTCAGGCAGTAACTGAAATTATGCATTTTAAATTCGAATTTTTATAACATTTAAGTACAAAATTCGAATTTAGTTTTTCAGCCATTTTGACAGCCCTACTGTGCGCTCAGGCGCTGGTGTTATCAGCACTGTCAAAATAAAAGTCCTGCTTCCGAAATATCAGCCAAACAGAAAAAAAAACTGCCCAATGCTGATAAGTACAAAATGCCAAATACTGGCCGATATATCGTTCGACCACCGAAATGACAGATTTCTGAAACTGAAGAACTTTGCAACACTGTTTATTTTTGTAAATCTGCTTTGGAGCAGTTTGTGTTGTATAAGCAGTCTTACTGAGCTGTGATGAGTTCAGTCCGTAGCTGGACCTCCTCCTGCGCTCTCCGCTCTGCTGCGGCACCTCGGCGTCTCCGTTGGCGTGTGCGCTCCAGTCCGAAGCCGTCCTGCGCCCCGGCCGCTCTCTGTCCCGCGGGTTGGGTGGCGGCGGCGTGAGCAGCAGCGGCTTGATCTCCGGCGGCTTCAGCAAGTCCAGAAAGCCTCGCGGCAGTGAGTCCATGCTGAACGTGATCAGATCTCCCACCTCCGGCTCCGGCTCCAGTGTGGGCAGGTGCGTCCGTGACGAGGCCCGTGGAGGCGGTGTGGGCGGGTGCTGCGGCTCCAGACAGCGACCCAGAGCCACGGACGCCAGCAGGGCGGTGCTGCCAAGCAGAGCACGGTGTGTGCTCTTTCCCAGACAGACCAGCCCGGAGTGATCCGGTTTGGGAGAACTGCACGGGGACAAGCCGCCTTCCTCACTCTCTGAGCCCTCTGAGAGACACACACAGAAATATGGAGATTTCTAGCTGATATGATACAGATTCTAAAATAAGCCAGACACTGATATTTTGTCAGTTTCTTATTTATTTATTTTTGAAAGCTATATCAGCATCAAGGGATATTTTTGTGGCAAACTGAAGTAAACAATAACCGCGTTTCCACTGTCGGGCCAAAAGTGAGCGTGCTAGTGCATTTGTTGATACAGGACGTCATTTTGGATCTGCACGTCATAAATTTCATATAGCTACTCTGTAACTCATAACTCTGTTTTTCTGTCTATGAGCTCTCTCTGTTGCTCTGGCTGAAAGGATAACAGTATAGTGAGACAGCAGACAGTGCTCAAACCTCCTCAGGTTACATGCATTGTGGTAAAATAAATATAAATGCTCATTCTTTCTAAACAGATTTGACAAACATAAGAGGGTTTATCAATGTTTTTCTATTGTGTTATACACATATGCCCTAATGGAGTTGTTTTGTGCATTCCAGTCATCACAAATAAACGGAGCAGCTGCGACTGAACAAGTATGCTCTCTTTTTATGTGAAATAATGATAAATATCATTTTGATTTAGCATGCTGACAAAAGTTAATAAACCACTATTTTTTATCGCAAATCATTGCCATATAAAATATAGATGCTGAAATCTTTAAGTCTTCGTGTAAGGACCAAACGCCTTATGTCAGTGAAAAACAAGTTTCTGGTTGAAATTATGAGCATGCATTGTCATAGTTATGTTGTCAGTTAAGTCATGAAGTTACCAAAAAGGCGATTAAAGCTGCCTTAAAACTGTGCGTGCATGTAAGTATCTGTTATATGAGTCCGATTTAAGAACATGTCTCTGAAATAGTTTTCCATGGCAGCACTGTGTCCCTCATCTAACACCCGATTCAACTCCACAGCTCATTATAGAGACTTTAAATGAGTCAGAAAAGGTAAAGAGTTATGAGAAACTACGATGCGTGTCAGATCCGTGTCATGTTCAGCAGCTGAAATAACCTGATAACCTGCTGCTGTGACGTCTGTTCATCAAAGAACTAAAGAAAAAAAGAGCTTTAAGGATTCATCTATATTTAATTTAGAATTTAGTGTTTGATAACTTTATTCTATTTCTGTATATTTCCTACTTGCTGAAGGGCACAGGTAGCTAAAAAGCTGACATTAATTATAATGGGTTTATATGAAGATTGTTTTAAGTTCACTTAAATTAAAAGTTACTTTTTAAAGTCTAATAAATGTTAAAATTGATAGCTCTCGGTTATAGTGTAATGTTGAAAGAGAGAGAGAGAGAGAGAGAGAGAGAGAGAGAGAGAGAGAGAGAGAGAGTGTGTGTGTGTGTGTGTGTGTGTGTGTGTTACCGTTGTGGCTGGACTCTGGTGTGATGGGTCTGTACTCCTCAAAATCAGCTTTGGAGTCCTCGTTCTCGTTACTGTCCACCTCCAGGAGTTTGGCTCTCATCGACAGACTGACACACACAAACACACACTTCAGATTCAATCGTTTCACACACAAACGTGCTGATATACACCCGTCCCCGTCCCATACCTGTTCTCCTGCGCGCTCAGACGGAGGATCTTTGGACTCTTGGGGCTTTTGGGGCTCAGATGAGGAGCGAATCTCCTCTCGCCGTTGGTCTGCTTGAGAGGAAGAGACTCCAGCGGCCAAACCGAGCTCCACTTACTCTCACTGGGACTCACTGAGACACACAGCAGAGAGAGACAACAAACATCTGAGACACAACAGCGCCACCATGTGCTGACAAACACACTTTCATCATGATGAAAACTGATTCTTCATTGCATTCACATATATACCATTATAAACCCTGAAATACTAATACCAATAATAATTTTTGTATTCCATAATTCCAGTTGATAACAGTGTCACCATATGCAATTTATTGCAATGTCACTTCTATGCATTTTATTTTTCCGCCACATATGACTTCCTTTGTTCTTTTATATCTTCCTCTTAATTTTGTATCTGTTTACTGTGTTTCGATTGTATTTGAAAGTTGATGTTGTGTTTTGTAATGCATGTATGGAAGAATAATCAAAGGAATGAGATATCCAGACAGACTCACGCTGTATCGCTCGGAAGCGCGGACCGATGGACGGCGAGCCCAGATCCGGAGAGTTACGCCTCTTCTCCAAACACGGAGACGCCTGGACCGTGATCTTATGGATAAAATCTACAGGGCAAAAAATAAACAATATGTACAATCAGATCAAGACAAACATGTACATTCAACACTAGACAAGAAAACATCTTCAACGCACTACAGACAAAACCACTGAGATTATGCTTCCATAAAATGTATTCTTTCAGACTAGTGGATGCCATTTTAATTGTTTGTTTTATGGCACTTTATCTATTTGCGTCTGTAGATTTCAGTTCCAATAGATATCTTTAAAAGTTTTTCCTTCTCTTCAGCGTCACTTATAGACATCAAAACTTAGCGATGTATTCCTCTCTATATTCTGAAGGTTTTTACTGAGGGGTTTGTTCATATTTCATTTGCCTGGTTTTATTTTGACACTTTATTTGCATCTATAGATTTCAATTACAATGCATATCTTTAAAGGCGTTTTTCTCAAAATGAGTTTGTTTCTCCACTTCAGCAGCACTTACATACACCAAAACTTAGAGTTTTATTCCTCTCTATATTCTGAAGGATTTTACTGAGGGGTTTGTTGATATATCACTCACATGAGTTTTTATGACATTTTATTCTTAAAAACAGGGTGAAAATGAATTCGTTTTCTGTCTGTTGACAGTATTTTCTGATTTATGGAGTGATAAAAACAGAAATCCAGAATCCCCTCTATAAAAACATCTAACTCTAATATGACAACAAAATCAAACAAAAATGAGGAGCCTGGCTTTAGATTTATGTTCTGGACATTTCTGCAAATTAGTGCATATTTAATGAAATAATGCATCAAATTTAAACATAACATTTCAGAAATATAACACAACTGTCTTATTGCACAGTAATTAATAACAACAGTATAATTATGTTGATATCTCTTAGTTATTTGTTTTAACCCATTCAGCTTTAATGTCTCACTTTACAGTGCAGTACAGTGCGGTTAATTATTACTAACGATGTGAAGAAATGTGTGTGTTCTCTGTGTTCTATTACACGTTAACTTCTTTCCATTCTAGAGTCATAACAGCTCATTACTGAACGACTGCAGCTCATTAACGTCTTTAATAAAGTGCATGTAATAATTAGAGAGCACTGTGGATCGTCAGCTTTATATAACGACCTCAAACACACTGATCGTAACAGATTATGTGGTTATTAGTGAGGACAAACTGAAGGAGCGACCCAAACCATATCTACAGATCAGAATATCACACAGAGCACCCTAGTAACTGCACAGCAACACCCTAGCAATACCCTGGCAACACATAATCAACTAAAAATAATCCAGAAAGTTTTAGCAACCGCATAGCAATCCACTAAGCTAGTAGAGCCATCTTATCAAGCCACTAGAAGGCGTGTGTGTGTGTGACGAGAAGCCTCACCCTGCGGCATGCTGATCTTCTCTCCGTCACCTTCAGCCTGCGGCATGCTGATCTTCTCTCCGTTCTTCACCTTCAGCTTGTGCTTCTTGAAGGTTCCCTTGCGCTTCTTGACGTTGGGTTTCTGGTTCTGGTTGAGGTGCAGGATGAGCAGCGATAGCTCGCGCTCGAACACGTCTTGCTCCCACTGTGCTAACTGCTGCTCGCGCTGACGCAGGAACTCCTCGTGAGACTTCTGCTCCAGTGCCGCGCGCTTCAGCTCCTCCTCGCGACACCGCAGCTCCTGCACACACACACACACACACCAGCACACTTAGGGTTAAAAAAAATGTTTACTGTCAGAACTTGTGTAGATCAGCGGTTCTCAACCTTTTGGACTCTGAGTTAACTATCGTTAACTAAACCTAAAATCATTCAAATACAAATATATATATATATA